ATGTGGAGTAATTTTGCACCAATGAGATTTTATGGTGGGCGGTGTTATGCAGCTGTTCACACTGATTAAATCTCTCTTTGACATTGATTGCAGGTATAATAATATATTAGCTACATTTTTTGTAGCATGAGGGTCATTTTTAAAATAGTAGCTTTGCAGTGACAAACTATAACAAAAGATGCTAGATATGTAGATAGATAGAGACCTGTAGATGGATAGAAATCATAAAAACATGATTACAGGATATTTTATAGTAATTTTATATGATTTCTACACAATAAAATATTTTAGTGCTTGAAATAACTAAAAAACGTATACTCATTATAGACTTTTTGCACTTAATTTACATCTTGTTTTTAGCTGTTTTAGTTTATTTTAATGCTTGTTATATATGTTATATATTTATTAATATGCCTATATTTAAACCAACTTGTGGCCTCCTTGGAAGTGTGCTAAGGCCTCCTGGGTTCCGAATCCCGACCCTCTGGTTGAAAACCACAGTAGATACTTTTTGTTAGCTTGTGGTTAGCTAACAACTTTTTTCAAATGAGTAGCTTAACTATAGTCTAAAATAGTACTCTAATTAATAGCTGACTAAACATAGAAGCTACAATTTCAAATTAGCTTCAACTGAGCAGTGAGCACAGTCTTCAGCCACCATGGGAGTCGCTCAAATCGGTTCTCATTTGCATAAAGCATTGGCAACAGTCGCTGTCACTCATCTTGCCGGAAATCGTCAACTCTCTTTAAACATTAATGACTTCAGGCCGCTTTGTCACTGTAAATTGCTGTCAGCTTGAAAGCCCCTGAAGAGTTCGCTTGTATCCCTCATATCACGTATAGCATCTGGTGTTAGAGTGGCATGGACTTATTCTGTTCTGATTGTATGTAGCTTCTGCTGCCTCAGTCTGTACTCTGTATGGTTGCATGTGCCTGTTTGTGGTTCCCTTGTGAATGCGTATGTGGTTAAAGACTGGACAGAGAGTGGGGGGGGGGGGGGGGGGGGCAGAGAGTCATAAAGAATGAATGATGTCAGAAGGGTGAGACGCTTCCGGCACTTTCTGCATGAGAGAACAGCCGCCTTGCTGTCCTGCTGGCCGCCCTCACACACACACACACACACACACACACACACACAGCCCTGCTCCTCAATATGCGTTGTACATCTCTTAGTATTAACAGATTAATGTTGTTGTGCTGTTTCTTTATTAGTTATTCATTTAACATATGCTTGAAAGCCTTCTGATAATACCCAAGGAAATCCCTCTGTATGTGGAGAAAGGCCTTTAAAGTGATTATAGTGGAACTAAACATGATTTATTGTGCTCAGACTATGGTAATCTGTTTGTGTATGTGTGTTTGAAGCATTGGAACTGTGGTGACAGCGAGTATATTTAAATGAAATATATTATTGCACACTGTAATTATTCACTAGATTTAGATGCATTTACAATAAAATATAACGGGACTTTATAAATCCCTGAAAAGCAATTTAGTTTTGGCACAGGGAAGATCAGGCAAACAGACAGGTTACAGGTGAATACAGAAGATTGAATGGGAATTATAAGATTAGATTGGAGTGTTACTTTAAAATCTTCCAGTACCAACTGCTAATTGTTATTTAAAATGTGCTGCTTATATATTTCAGTCATGATAGTATTACATTTCTTTCCTTGTGAGATGAACTACACTTTAGCATACTTTTAAAAAGAGAATTTATTTTGTAAATAATGTACTTTAAAAAAAACTTAATTGGGAACTGAATGTAATGTTTTCAGACACTTAATTGCAATTATATTAAATGGAATTAGCTGAACTTTAGAATGCTTTTTATGCTCTTAACTAGGATTTAAGCACATCTTTAGGCTATATTTAATTTAATATTTCTTTGAAATAGGGTTAATGTGTACTGCTGAATATACTAACAAGCCTTTATATGGTAAACTATCTTTTAATGTCATTTCTATGGACTTGTATCATGTCATGCAGTTAAATATATGTGTAATTACACATTTGTAATTATAATGAAGTTGCAGTTTAGGACATTTAAAATATATTAATATTTGAATGTTGAATAACACACAGTTAAACTGATGATCAAGTACAAGTATGTTATGTAATATGTTTGTCAACACATCAAAATAAGTATTGTACTTTAAAGCACTACAAAAAAATATTAAAACAATGATACAAGTGTTGTACTAAGTGGATGTACGAAATTGTACATTCAGTACAATTAAGCTTATAATTTTTCATAAAGTTATTATTTTAAAATCAGAGTATTAATAATGCCCACTTTTATATATTTTTTTAACTGTAATGGAATGCAGTTAACCTTGTTGTATTGGGATTAAATAGCACCCTCAGTATTCTGAGAATAAATTATAGAAATAAAATATCTTACAAAATATACTGTTGTTATGCACAATGAAATGCGATATGGGAAGTATACAATAATGTAAGTGGAATAATAACATAAATATTCAACAAAATATATTATATACAACATAGTATACACAATCATCTAAATAAAATTAATAAACTGTTATAACTATCACGCTATAAACAACAGACAGTAATAATATCTGCAATCTGAATCTTGTCTAAATAGTCAAATTGTTAGCAGCTAAGAAGTAGTCTGGTGGTGTAATAAGGGCATCTCTAGTAACAGCTCAGAGCTATCATCTTTAATGGGCCTCTTCTCCTGGTCTGCACTTCGTCTAGACTTCATAAACCCACTACAGTGATTTTAGAGCAGATGTTTACTATGGGTTGGAGGCTGTTCCTGTTCTTGATCGTGAGATGTGAAGCAGCAGACAATGGAGGAGCACAGATTACTCTCAATATCGGAGCTGTAGAAAGGCTTGATGGCTTAATGGAGCATGCATCATGCACACGCACACACACACATTCACCAAAGGGAATGAAACACTTACCCAGGCCAGGAAAAATGTAAACATTAACATGTAAACAGTTGAAATGCTGTTCAATTCAGGATTATATCCAATAAATATTTACTTGAAGGTCAGTATACGGTTTCCTACTGAGCGTTAAGTATACCTTTAAATAAATATAGAAAATGTAAATTAAATTCTTGGTGAGTTGAATTCATGTAATTGCCTCATTTAGTTGAATTTATTTCATATAGGCAAGGATTAATTAGAACTGAGCAGGAATCAAACTCTACTTCAACACAGTATCAGAAATATGACCTAATATTTTAGTAATATATTACTTGCTATATTACTACATATATTTTTGGGGATTTTCTGCTGCTTTTTTTGCTGCCATACAAAATTAAATAATACTTTTTATTTAGTACTAAATTATATAGCTAAACAACATGGACAGATGCCATTTTATGCCATTTTGCCAATTTTTTTAAATACATTTTGAATAATTTCCCATGTCTACATTGAACAAGCAAAAAAATTTTTTAATTTTACGTCACTTTCCTTTCTGGTGAAAGTATGTGAATGTTCGTGTTTAAAGCATCAGCAGTATAAGCAAGAAAAGAGGACTGCAGCTGACCCGTTCTTTCACACAGTCATGCTATCACATGACTTTCATATAAAGGATGCTTGCAGCATAATGGAGGCTATTCTATTTCTATCCTGTTTCCCTCACATTCTCTATGTACAGTAGGTCTTAGAAGAATATATAAATATCTGTATGAAACGAAAGACAGACAGAAAAACAACTGCACAAAATCAAGAGAGATCTAGGTGTAGATTGGGTGGCAACTGTATTTAGCTGCTGAAATAGAGGCACAAACAAGAGGAAAAAGAACAATGAAAGTGTTTACACACAGTGAGGCTGAGAGATATAAAGTTCTTTGTGAGCGGGAAAGAAGGGAAAGGATATTATGAATGACCAACGGAGACGCTGTAATGGATTTCATGTGGTGTTGTTTATCCCAAGATGCATTTGCATGCCACACACGCAAACACACACTTAGAGGAAGGAGAGAGAGATATGGCAGTCATCAAAAATGTTTAATTGCAAAAGGACCAGACAGTTGCCATGTCATATCCATTTCTTTGTGTGTGTGTGTGTGTGGCCTGGTAAACCCTACGTTATGGGGACAAAATGTCCCCACAAGGATGGCAATATCCAAAATCCTTGTTCGTGTGGGGACATTTTTTGGTCCCCATGAGGAAATCAGCTTATAAATCATACTAAGTGATGTTGTTTGAAAATGTAAAAATGCAGAATGTTTCCTGTGATGGGTAGGTTTAGGGATAGGGTTAGTGTAAGGGAATAGAATATACAGTCTGTACAGTATAAAAATCATTATGTCTATGGAAAGTCCCCATAAAACATGAAAACACAACGTGTGTGTGTGTGTGTGTGTGTGTGTGTGTGTGTGTGTGTGTGTGTGTGTGTGTAACCATTTGGTGCTATCAGTCTTCAGTGTACCTTTGATGGAAACTGACATATTAACTTAATTAAGCATAAACAAGTGCAGACCAATTACTGAATGTGACAGGCAACAAACAGTCCAGTATAAACAGACACAATGCCAAGTCATACATATGCATTTCATTATTATTTCTGTGTTTATGGCTTATTCTGTTGTTTATGGCATCCATTTTGTGTTGTTTTGTTGAAGTGATCTTTGTTTAATGTTCTGTCTAATGTTTATTTGTTTTCTCCACAATGCTTCCTCTACAATCAGGAGGTGGAGGTTTGTATGATTGTGCCTTTGTTTTTCCATTGAAACAGAGTCTTGCTAATCTGCCTGTTTGTCTGCAAGGAAATCCTTCCAAGTTTACGTTATGTGCTGTAGTTGCATGATAATATGTGCAACGTACATTGAATGTAACTGCCTGTAAATACATGTTGAGCTGAATGTGTAACTACAAGCAAGGCAATGTAAAAATATGTACTTGCATAGTTCAAAGAGAAAAGATTACTTTATGTACAATGACATATAGAATTTCAGAAAAGAAAACAAATGCAGACTGTTGATTAATTCTGTTGATCAACTTCTGTTTTAGGAACCAGGAACATGGAGCCCAGGAAAACCATTCGATCAAGGTAGGACTGACAACCAAAAAGAGCAACATCATTGTGTTTTTCATGCGTTCAGAGTTAAAATCAAAGAAAACTCTAAAGCTAAAGTGTGTCATTTTTTATTGTTTTAGTCAAATTCTTTCTCCTGACCAGCCAGACTCGGCAACAACTGCTTAACCAATGGCGTGAGTTTAAAGCGTGACTATTTGTTTAAACAGTGAAGGATTAGTGAGTGTTCATTGTTAATAAATTAAAAAAATGCAAGAAGTCCAAAGTCAGTTATTGCACTTTGTTTATCGCAAAAGTTTTTGGTCTTGTGTGCACAACTTCTTTCTAACATCACTGATTAAGTCAACCAAACCCACGCTATTTCTAAGCAGTTATTGGAGTAACAAGTTTCTTTGTGTGTGTGTGTGAGTGTGGTATTCCCTTCGATAGTAAAACCTAAAAAACAATTGACATTGTGGGGGAATTTCGGTCCCCACATGAGGAAAACAGCTCATAACTATGTGTACCAAATGCTTTTTTGAAAATATTAAAACGGTAAATCCTTTCTGTAAGTTTTAGGGTTAGGAGCAAGCGGCAACATTCTAATCTGAAAAATGAAGCCTACCCGGAAGTGCGAAAAACTGCAATACATCGAAAATCCGCTAGACGGAGGTCCCAAAAGGGAGCAAATATCCATAGGCCGCATGTTAAAATGTCCGTTTTCACAGCATAAATTTATATGTTTACATGTTGGTCCCATGGACTTTTATTGTATTTTTGGATAGGTCCCGAGTGCCTGACAACTGTGAGGGGGGTGAATTTTTTTCTAACTCGGTAGTTTAGATCGTATTTAGATATAAAATGTATGACAAATAAGCGCGTGATTGACAGCTGATAACGGGCTGCGCCGAGTGGAATTCCTGAAATTTGACGTCTCGGCCATGATCTGACACAACACATCATACCACCTCTGTATCCTTTCTGAACATTTGTATTTGAAATATCGTAAGATTTTCCAAGATGGCACCGCCCATACCCCCCATAAACAGCCTCAAAACCGTTCTTCAGAAAGTCTATGGGTGACGTCACAGACGCTTTGTCCATATTTTTTACAGTCTATGGTTAGGAGATAGAATGAAAAGATTGTACAGTATTAAAATCATAATGGCTGCTGAAAATTCGGCTTTTCCATTACTGGAATAAATTACAACATTGTACATATTCAAATATATTAAAATAGTCAAGTTATTTAAAATTGTAATATTAATTCACAATATTACCATTTTGACCGAATTTTTGATCAAATACACGCAGCCCTGCCCTTGTAAGCATGAGAGACTTCTTTCCAAATTATTTTTAAAAAAATCTTACAGACCCAGAATTTTTTAACAGTGGCATATGTGACTTCTGAAATTAACATGGTTTCCATAGGTATATTCTTTTCCAAAAAAAGTAAAACATTATTTTGCTAAGGTAGACGGCTCTGTAATTAAATCATTTTAATAATTAAACTTTCGTTTCAGAAATAACATAAACGTCTGTCAAATAATCTGTATAAAAGATTTAACTGTCCTGTGGTATAGGGATACTTTATGTATGGGAGTTGTGCTTATAGGCAGTAAGAACGTCTCAGGTTACGACTGTAACCCTAGTTCTCTGAGAAAGGGAACGAGACGATGCGTCGATGACGCTTTGGGAACGCCCCCAGCGTGTATGCGTCTGAAACATCTATGTCAACTAGTCCAATGGAAAGAATGAACGTCACGGGCGGGTGACGTCATGAGCAGGAAGCGATAAAAGCAGATCCGGTGCAACCGGCATTAGCTACGAAAATTGCCGAAGCAAGTCGATCACAGGGATGCAGGAAGCATGGCAGAGCGATGCATCGTCTCGTTCCCTTTCTCAGGGAACTAGGATTACAGTCGTAACCTGAGACGTTCCCTTTCGAGGGAACTCGCGATGTGTCGATGACGCTTTGGGAACGAGAATACCCAAATCGCCAAACTTACAAATGCCTGAGTGTCAGCCTGTTGTCAGAACTACACTAAGCACCTGAGACCCTGGGGCAACGTCCAGGTCCAGGCTATAAAACCTCACGAATGTGAGCGGTGAGGACCAACCCGCCGTATCGCTAAGGTCTTGGAGAGAAACCCCAGATAATAAGGCTTTAGAGGCCGCCATACTCCTAGTGGAATGAGCTCTGACCACCAAAGGGCACGGCTGGTCAGAGGACTCATACGCAAGAGAAATAGCTTCAACTATCCACTTGCTAACTGTCTGCTTAGAGGCAGGAAGACCTTTCTTGGGGGATCCAAAGGAGACAAATAATTGATCAGTGCTCGCACTACACACAAGAGGTTCAGCTTTTCCTGGTCCAAACTAGTAAACGGAGGAGGACAGAAAGCCTGCTGCACAATAGGCTTTGGAATATTGGTCGGCACCTTAGGGACGTATCACGGCGAGGGAGAATTTTTTTAAACGCCTCTGACTGTTTTTTGGCCTCCTGGAACCTCACGACGACCCTTTTCTCGGCTGGCCATTTAATATGTAATTTATCCACAGCCCGAGTAATCACCTCCACCAACTGCTCTTACGCTGGTGAAAGAGGTGGCAAATCCTCTTCCCCCGTGATTGTGTCACTTCCAATGCTTAGCACATCTACCTCCTCGGAGCTAGAGCACTGAAGCATTGGGCTCTCTGCCCGGGCGGAAGAAGCCGCAGCGCGGGCTTCCGACACCGGAGAGAGAGCACTGGATCCCCCTGGAAAGAAAGGAGATAAGACCCTCGGACCCGTCTCCAACCCCTCCTTTTGCGATCCCCAGGAATGCATTCTCCGTGCTGCCTCGGCACCAGTGGGTCCTGTACCCTGAGGAACGCCCGCCCATGACGTTCATTCTTTCAATTGGACAAGTTGACATAGATGCTTCAGACGCATTCACACTGGGGGCGTTCCCAAAGCGTCATCGACGCATCGCGAGTTCCCTCGAAAGGGAACATAATAAGCCATGAAATCTCAACATCACAGCTTTTTTTTTTTTTTTTACTGTTTTATTATTAGTAGAAATGGCAAAAGAATTGCCTTAATGATTAACATTTTTTTATGTTGTAAGCTCGTCATTTTATTGAGGTCATTGGAAATGGAAAGATCTGTATCTCTTCTCCTTTGAGCCATATGTTGAGTGGATGTTAATCAGGCATATATGTTGTGTGAATTCACAGTCACATGCTGTGGCCTAATACCCATATCATCACGCTACATCCGTCTGAGAAAATGAGAAAACTGCTTTTTAAGACTCTCTATCACATCAAGCTCTCAGTGTGCAGTAAATCTTACGAGATTAAGCATATTCGAAAGTCATTAGAAGCCCCTTGAATATTCATCACGACTTTGATATTTATGCAAATGACAATTGATAGAGCATTGAGTGAGTCAAAAAGAGCAAGTAGAGCAATTTAAAACGGATTCTGATCATACTCAGACATGATGATGCTCAAATCAATCACAAATTTTGTCACATGCACACAACCTCACACACACACACCCACTGACAATGGACTCCGAGTGTGCTGAGGAGATTGGGATTGGATAAGCCCTAAAGCCTGTGCAGGATTTGACTAAGGCTCTTACCATGTGAGGTCAGAGAGCGTTCGAAGTGTGGTTGTGTGTGTGTGTGTTTGTGCTTTGACAAGGGGCAGGTAAAGGATGAGAATGTTTGTGAGATATTGTCTTTCTTCCTCTGTGCATGTGCACAAGCCTCTAAGGACTATAAAGGCACTTAATGGAATTAGTAGTCTTTTTTTCTTTCTCTCTCTCCTTTTCTACTCTTCCTTCCTTCTCGCTCTCTCTCTCTCTCTCTTTCTTTCTTTTCATCTCAGAGCATTAGCTTCAGCCCCATTTTAAGGCTATAATAGAAATAGAATCCTTATTTACACACACAGTGAAATCAGACAGATCATAGTTAGCCTCTTTAACTGTGTGTTTATTTCATGTATTTTTGTTTTAATGCTGCACCTGAGATACATTTTTGTTAGGAACATCTGATTTTAATGATTTTTGGAGTTAAGTGGTTTTAGTTAAGAAGTTAAGGGCATCTGCTGTTCAGTGGGCAAATCCACTAAAGAGTTACGCCACTTTTGCATGCTTTAATTCAGTGCAAAAACCTGCGCATTGTTTACTAACCACCACCAATCCAGCTTAACCAGGTGCTAATGTAGCGCTTAAAGTCTAGTTCACCCTTAAAGTCTAGCTCACTCAAAAAAGAGAATTGCTCATCCTCGTGTCATTCTAAAGTTAATCTTCGAAAAACAAATTAAGACATTTTTAATTAAACCAGAGAGATTTTGGTCCATCTGTTGAAAAAATTTTCAAGCATCAAAAATAAATTGTAAAGGCATTGACATACTGTAGAGTTGAGAATTGACCCCTACTGTTGAGGGTTTTCAAACTGTGGGTCGCAGAGTGGGAAAATGGTGGTCACTTGGCTGCAGCTAAATTTGCGTTTCAGTGAATGACACACACACACACACAAACAGTTAGTCTAGGGCTGCATGATATACCACCATCAAATAGAAATCGCAATTTCCTAATGTTTTATAGTATAGCGTACATGCGACTACTTTTCTGCGTCTCAGGGCGGCTCGTATCTTTATTAAGCGGCTTGGTGTGCATTATTAACAAGAAAAAACTTGTTAGAATTCAAATGTCACAAAAGGCTGTTTCAGGTCTGTTCATTCATCTCTGTCGTCTGTTCAACTCAGCGCTGTCGTCTTTCAGAGACATGGTCTTAAGAGTTTGTTCTTTGCATTCCCTCATGTGCATTTGGCTACCTACTGTACCAACACATAGGGAAAATATGTCTGTTAAAAGCATTTTAGATGTACACAGAGAACGAGTACGAGAGAGTGTTCTGCGCTGAACACCGCGATGAATTAACACACTGTTTACAGCACAGATGTGTGAACTCAGCATGGATCACAGTTTATATCCAGACCAGACCGAGTATGTCCAAACGTGAACATGCACCATTTATGCGCACATATTCAATCACGTCTTCTTAAAATGAAATAAATGTGCATTATACAGTGGTATGTCTGATCATGAATGCGATGACACAGTGGATTTGTTGTCATGGGTTTATACCTCATTTGTTTTGGTGGAAGCTGAAATCTCACGCAAGCACAAACCTCATTGTTTCTTGTACCTCAAGCAAGCATGTTTGAGCTTTCATTTACCATATTTGATGTGTTCTATGTATGTGTGTTGATCAGTGTTTAATTTGTGAATATAAATGAAATCTGCTTTATCAAAAGTGATTATTCATTTTCAGAAGACTTGGATTAAACTGTGATTCATATGCATTACTTTTGCGATGTATTTATCAACATTTTGAAGCGTCAAAGTTTAGATGTTAAGGACTTTTAATGATGGGACAGAAATCTCAAATTTCAGTAAAAATATCTTCCGTTGTGTTTCAAAGATGAACTTACGTTTTTATAGGTTTGGATTGGAACACCATGAGGGTGAATAAATGATGACAGACTTTTCAATTTCTTACTTCTGCTGAACACAAAAGAAGATATTTTGAAGAATTTTTTTTTTCCTGCTGAACATAAAATAAGTATTTTGAATAATGTCGGTAACCAAACAGTTGATGGGCCCCATTGACTTCTATAGTATGAAAGAAATACTATATAAGTCAATGGGGTCCATCAACTGTTTGGTTACCGACATTATTCAAAATACTTATTTTATGTTCAGCAGAAGAAAAAAAAAAATCATACTGGTTTAGAACAACTTGAGGGTGAGTAAATTATGACATAAATACAATTTTTGGGTGAACTATCCCTTTAAGTCATGTAATTGTTTTTAGTACATCCTTTATATGTAGATTAGGCTTATTATAGATTTTGCCATGTTCACAAAACACAATTCATTTATAGTATTTCAGGTGCTGAAATAACGCAAACAGCGTGTGCATCAGTGTGCACAATTAATTCTTAGTTAATTCATTCTTAGCAAAGCATATAGCTAAATATGACAAATATGTTTATCTGTTTGTATACATATACATATACATATATATATATGTTTATTTTTGCATGTGTTTCAGCTCTGGACCCTGCCAAAGATCCGTGCCTCAAGATAAAATGTGGCCGCCATAAAGTGTGTGTGGCAGAAGATTACCAAACACCCACCTGTGTTAGTCAACGCAGGATGAGGTAAACGTCTGACTCACAGTTATAGCTCATTACCGAAACAGTAGTAAAAACAGTGTACAGGCGTGGACAAAAAGATTGGCACACTTGCTGCCATGCTTGGATCTGTGTATGACATCTTTAATTACATACACATTTTGGAGCATTAGAAAGCTGCGTCTCAGTCAAAGATCAACAGTTCACCAAACACCCAGGAAGGGTTGAAAACAAAACACTGAGGGCCCTATCTTACACCCGGCGCAATGCAGCGCCAAGCGCGACGCAAGTGTTTTTTGCAAGCAGAGCAGTCATCATTTTCACGTCCTCCGCCACGTTGTTTAAATAGCAAATGCATTTGCGCCCATTTGCGCGCCCATGGGCGTGCTGGTCTGATATGCGCGTTGCTATTTTGAGGCAATTGAAATAGACTGCGCCATTGACCAACTGAAACCTGGTCTAAAGTATTTTTTTTTGTTATTTAAAGAGCATGTTAGTAATGCGCCCCTATAGGCGGGTCCACAACGCGCGTACACTCTGCTTATTAAACACACAGGGACGCACAGAAGCACTCAAACATTCCACATATTTAAAATAAAAGGATTACAATGTAAAAGATTATTATTGTGTACATAAAGATATGGTGGAATCCGGCTTGTCTCGTAGATGATCTGCTTGCGCACTTTTACCTCGCGCACGAGCAGATCCGTTTGCGCTCTGGAGACGTGTTCGGTCTTTCCACTATCAAATTGCGTCATGTAAATATCGAATCCGCCATGGCACGAGCACAGCTGGCATTCAAAGGGAATGGGAGATGAGACTCTGACTGGTTTATTGCACGTACAGCCCAAAACACACCCATTACTCATTAAGAGAATAGGGATAAGCCTTTTAGACCATGTGACTGGCGCGCCGAACATTTTTCTCCTGTTGTTAAACTAGCAAAAGTGGATTCGTACACGCCCTAACTGCACTTGCGCCCTGTGCTTTAGACCATGTGTTAACGTGTTAAAATAGGGTCCTAAATTGGAAAGCAGAATTAATTTCTACTGAATACCATTGGAGAAATCTGAAAACAGCAGTTTTGAAGAAACGCACTGATTGTCATTAGAGGCTTTGGAACTGTTTAATAGCTGTTCCACCAAATATTAAATCAATGGTGCCAATAATATGGTCCAGCTTTCAGTTTGTATCAATTCCATATTTTTTCCAAGCCAGGTCCACTGCAAACTAAACAAATACATATGTGGATAACAAAGGATGTTTTATTTAAAAAAAGAAATGTGCTAATATTTTAGGTCACAACTGCAACTGATTTTGTTATGGAATATGTCAGTAAGTTAACATTGCGGTAGCATTTTGGAATATATATATATATTTTTATAATGATTTTACATGGTACATTTTCCTGCACATTTGATGTTAAGTATGTCAAAAAAGCTTTTGAGAGGAAACAAGGGCTGTCCTATGTTCTTACCCAGTCAACCTATCCTGGAACTAACTGGGCAAACTTGCCTGCCAAAGTCTGGGAATTAGTTGTTCTGAGAGAGAGCGAGAGTAAGTGAGTAAGAGTGTGTGTGTGTGTGTGTGTGTGTGTGTGTGTGAGAGTGTGTGTGTGTGTGTGTGTGTGTGTGTGTGTGTGTGTGTGTGTGTGTGTGTGTGTGTGTGTGTGTGTGTGTGTGTGTGTGTGTGTGTGTGTGTGTGTGTGTTTGTGTGTGACCGAGGTGAAAATATGGCACAGACTGACCTGGATTTTTACAAACAGTGATTGTTGTTATGAAACTAATCATTTAGTGAATTGGAGGTGATAGCATAAAACAAATGTTGTTTTTTCAAATGGCCCAATGAAACATAGACAAAGAGGGATATTGAAAAGAAGTATCACAGAAATCAACAGAAAGAGAGAAAAATACATAACAGAGGTATGGGAAAAAACAACATTGGATTCTCAACTGGTGGGTCGCAACCCAAAAAGGGGTCACAGGTATGTTATATAGGGTTATGGGCAGGTGGGAAAAACAAATCTCACATAATAAAATGCATCTTATCATTTAATTGTGTAGAGCTAAACAATTAAAAAAAATGATCAAACTTGTAAAAAGAGAATCATTCATATATCTTGTCAAAGGCAACGTTAGAGCAGTGGTCCACAACATGGTCCAAATATTTAGCATGCTAAATATCTCATGGGTATCAATGATGCATCGGCGCTTCTATCAGATCGCGTCTTTGATAATACACACAACGCGATTGTCACTAACATGAATGAGCACCAATTTGCCTCTGATTTCCGGCATTTGACTGCAATTTCTACAAAACTGTCAGCGAGTGAAAATCGGGCCTAAAATCGTGCAGTGTGTACCCGGCCAACAAAACTATTAGACGCAAATTAATTTGTTACTTGGTAGAATTTAGACAAATTAAAGAATCCTATAAATGCATTTTAATAAAGTACTGAATCAAAAATGGTTGTTGATTAAATCAAATTATGTAAAGATTGAATCATTCTGATTTGGCATATATGGCTCTGGAATCGAATTTCAAATTTAAAAATCAGTTTGCTGTCAACCCAACGATTCCTTCTTATTCATTTAGGCAGATTCCAACATGTAGAGGTTCTTAACACCTCATCCTCAAAACCCATGAACAAAACTATACTAGGGACAATAATTTATGAAAATATTCACTTAAAGTGAGAATAAATATTATTTGTGTTGACCAGAATGACCATTGTGTGTTTATTTGAAACCATCAAAGAGAATTTTTTAGAAGCAAAATTGTCAGTTTTCCAACTCACTCTGTCACATAATGTTGGATTGGTTCTATGCAAATACATTTCAACTGATTTTAGGTAATTTTTTGTTTACTTTTTTGTACTGTATTGGATCGCTACTGGATTTGCCATGTTAAACTAGGTAAGCAAACCAGTGCAGTAGATGATAGTAGGAATAAGACAGATGAAAAAAGGCTGCATTTCTGCAATATTGTTTGGCTTCTTCATTGTTTGTATTAGAAGAGCAATCTCTCTTTCTGTCTGCAGTTTAAAGGACATGAATTTGAACTCACCACTGCTGAAATGCAAAAGATGTCCAGTTGTGCACCCTGCACCTGTTTGTGGAACAGATGGGCACATTTACTCCACCAAGGTAACACACACGCTGCCTGTTTGTGAGAACTGCCACGGTGTGTGTGTGTGTGTTTCTGTATGTGTATACTGTCTGAATTGCTTTTAATAATGCTGTGTCACGGAGGTATTCAACCAAGAGATTAATCCTCGATCAACAATGTACTTATCTAATCTAAGCTTTATGTGCGTGTCTGTGTTTGTGTGTGTTGTAGTGTAAACTAGAATATCAAGCTTGCATCTCTGGGAAGCAGATTTCTGTGAAGTGTCCAGGACAGTGTCCCTGCCTTTCAGGAAATACAGCAGAGAAGAGAGGTACATGCACTTTATCGATGCAGTTCATTTCTATTAGGCCTATAAATACTTGCACACAAACACTGCCTTTGTGTGGAATGGAATATGTGCACTGATTATTGCATACACAGATTGACATAAAGCTACAGGCAGGTGAGTTTTTATCAGGGTTGCCGGACAGTGGCCCTTCAGGACCTAAGTTGCCCTTTCCTGCTGTACAGTATTGGATTTAATATGAATTATGGATATGATAAACCTACAGGTCAATGACTAATAAGATTCTAGTTTAAAACATGCAAAGTTCTTAGAAGTATATTTTATATTCATGTTAATTTAGAAAAACATTTTAAAGAAAATGTTTAATTTAATGACACTAAAAAAGTCATGTGGTGTAAACAGCAATAACATTTTACCCTCAAACCTTAAATACATTACATTGTACACACCTTATAAATGTTTAAATATACACTTCCCTTCAAAAGATTAATAAGTTTAGTGAGACTTTTTTAAAAAGAAATTAAAACTTTTATTCAGCAAGAATGCATTTTAATTGATCAAAAGTGACAGTAAAGACATTTTAAACGTTACAAAATATTTCTATTTAAAATAAATGCTGTTCTTTTGAACATTTATCAGTTTCCTGTGTTTTTAGGGAGTTACACCACATGACATTTTACAACCTGAACGAATTGCCTTGTCATTAAAAGGTACACTTTTAAAATATATTTTAAGAGACTTTTTGAACTTGACAGACTTTGATATAATTTCCAGCTTTACTGGTGAATTAATAATGAAAGATTATAAATATGGACTGGTATAAAAGATCTAAAATACTTAGGGTTTCTTTTAATTATTATTTTTTATTATGATATCAGGCCAGTTGTGTCACTGTTACATTTTATGCCCACCAAAACATATCAAACTTAATTTTAATGTAGAAATTAAAAACATGCTCATCATAGACAAGGTGTATTCAAGTCTTTGTATGCATGAGTTACATTTTTGAATAATTTAATAGATCCGGACATTGTCATTGACCCATTTGCTACATTATGGTCACATGATCTCATTACCTTGATTGCTTATTTCAGCGAGTGGTGTCAAGTTATCAGCTTGGAAATCCAATGATGAGTAAAAAAAAAAAGATTACAAAATCACAGCTGATATTACTTCTGGTGCATTTGTCACACTAGAAAATGTACAGTATTCCATATTTGTTGTATACTGCATATTTTAGCTAATTTAGTAGGTCATCCATGTATTCTATACTTACAATTTGTACACTGCACACAATATACAGTGCATACTACATGGTAAGAATAGTATGGCAGTATGCGATTATGTATGTGTTTATCTCCCTTAAGCCCTCATAAATGGTAATAATAAATATCTCATGTCATTACTAGATGAACCAAATTATTCTATATATAAAACCAATATTTCATCTCTGCAGCTGTGGAAAGGAATGTGTACCCTCTTGGGTGGGTACTTGGCTTGTTTTCAGCTGCAAGGAGAGCAGCAAAAAGAGATTTCAATACACTAAACTAGTCTTATTTTGTGAAGATTCTCAAAGCTGAATCCCTTAGGAACTTATTAAATGTTTGCTGTTCCAGATTGTTTCTGTCAGTGTGTTTATGCGTGTACGTGTGAGAAAGACAGCACGGTAATGTTTGCTTTCATCATTATCCCAATGAACATAAGTCATGTCTTCAGCTGCTCTGCATCAGGCTATAGAGAAAATTTACCTTCGCCATCAAAAGATTGTCAATGATACCTCACAGCTCAAATCAATGCAAACTAAACTTAAGATCATGAAACTGAAGTCACAATAGTTTTTTTTGAAGGGGTGAGAAGGATGAATGCTATTGTTTTGTCCAGTTGCCAAATATCAGCAAGACCAAATATCTTCCTCATCATTCATAAGTTTGGGGTCAGCAAGAAATTAATACTTTTATTTAGCAAAGACACATTTAACTGACCAAAAGTGACAAGATTTCTATTTCAAACAAATGCTGTTCTTTTGAAATTTCTGGTCATAAAAGTATCTATCCTGAAAAAAAATATATCACAATTTTTACAAAAATATCAAGGGGAGCTGGGCTCTGGAGATGATGACTCGGCTGCGCTGCCTCCCTCTAGGAGACCAGCGTTGCCCGATCTGGATCCAGAGATGGTAGGGCTCGAGTGGAACACTCCACCGTGTCCCGAACCTTCTTGGTTGGATGATTGGTTTATCCGAGCGGGCCGGTCTGGTTCTCAGCCCGTCGCTCCGGTACCTTTCTTTCCTGAAGTGCATGAGGAGTTGACGAGGGCATGGATGGCACCTTTCTCTGCCAGAAATCGCCTGAGTAGCTCCTCCCCCCTCACTACCCTTGACGGGGGAGTGGTGAAGGGTTACGAGGCTATCCCTCCAGTGGAGCGGTCTGTTGCGATGCAGCTGTGTCCACCGACCGCTACCTCATGGAAGGGGGATCCTCGTCTCCCCTCTAAGGTCAGTAAGTTTTCTTCCATTCTCACGGGCAAGGCTTACAAAGCCTGTGGGCAAGCCGCTTCCTCTCTGCATGCCATGGCGTTAATTCAGGTCCACCAGGCCCAGGCACTCATTAACATGCACAAGGGTAGCCCAGACCGTGAGCTCATGGATGAGCTCTGCACTGCAACTGACCTCACCCTCCGGGGCATGAAGGTTGCAGCTCGCGCGGTCAGTCTGGCGATGTCCACTCTGGTGGTCCAGGAGCGCCATCTCTGGCTCAACCTGGCAGATATGAGAGAAGCAGACAAGGTTCGGTTCCTGGACTCTCCCATTTCCCAGTTTGGGCTGTTTGGCGACGCGGTTGAGAACTTTGCCCAGCAGTTCTCGGCCGCCCAGAAGCAGAAAGAGTCCATCAGGCACATCCTGCCCCGATGACCTGCTACTGCCTCCACCAGTCCGTCGGTGGCAGATCCTCCGCCTGCTCGTCGCCGAGGGCGCCCGCCTGCAGCCGTCTCTGCTCCCGCTGGACCGTCGCAGCAGCCTCCACCCAGGTCTCAGCGTGGAGCCGGCCGCAGAAGGGGCGCCCCCGCCCCCTTTAGGCGCTGCCAAGCCAGATGGAAAGCGACAGCGAAAGTGCTAAACCTGAGGCGGGCCACCAAGGGATGGAGGAATGCTCTTGGAGATGGTCACCGGCCACTCCCTTCACTCGTAAGAGGACAGAGTGAAGTTTTTGTTTTGTGTATGTGTGTTGTTCCGCCGTTGGTTTCCAAACAAACGGAGCCAGCGGCACCCACATTTTCAAAGAAAGAGCAATTTCTCCTTTCCTGGGCCCCAAGAGAGCTAGTTGGCGGTGTGTGACCCTGCAAAGCCTTGCACCCTTCAGCTCCCTCTTGTTCGCCAGCCGGCACCTGGGTGCGGTTCGAGGACCCGGTTATCCGCCTTCTCACGCATCCCCTGCCGCTCAGTGGAGTCAGGTAAGTGCTGCACTGCACACTCAGACCCTGCTTCGGGCCGTCTCCGGGCCTCTTGAGTTGGGTCCCTGTTCTCCACCTCTCTGCCCCACATTGGGTACGTCTGTGGTCTCTATGGCCCCTGGTACGGTGTGTGTAAACCTGAAAGTGCTTCCTACCGCTCCAGTTGGCCCTGAGTTTAACCGGCAGACTCGGCTTGCGATTCATTTTGTGATATTATTCACACCTACGTGTTGAGCGCTGCTCCTGTCCTGCGTGTGCACGTCACCGTCCTACTGGCGAAGGACGTGGTGTAGCCTCTTCCTCCAGCCGATATGAAGACCGGTTTCTTTAAACCCGTACTTCATTGTACCCTAGATATGTGGTGGGCTATGGCCGTCTTGGACCTGTGTCAATTGAAATTGACCCTTTTTCGAAAGCCTCCGTTCAATTACTAACACAGATATGCATTTTCAAATGCTCCATCCCCAAGGTTGGCCTGCAGCGTTCGACCTGAAGAACAGTACTTCAGATCTCTATCCTTCCGCTCCACAGACCATTCTGTGTTCTTGCATTCGAAGGTGCGAAGTATCAGTACAAGTCCTACCCTTCGAGTGCTCCATAGCCAGTTGGGTCATTAGGTCAACTGGGAGAGAGTAATCTCGCCCACGGGCTGAGTATCTCTTTTTCAGTTCAGGAGAAGGACTCGGTCCACCACGTCTCTTCAAGAAGAGTGTGTTCGGCTGGTGCTTGAAGTGACAAAGGGTCCCACTGAAAGAACTTTCAGAGGCTCCTGGGGCATATGGCAGACGCAGCCGCTATGGCTTCCTCCATGTGAAGACCGCTTCAGCACTAGCTTTGTGATCGAGTCCCGAGGTGACAGTGGCAGAGCGGCACGCCCTGTGTGACGCAAAGATCACCCCGGCCTGCCGTCAAACCCTCAGCCCGTGTTCAGACCTTTTGTTTCTCCGGGCCAAACCGTTCCTAGAACGAGGTCCACTAGCACCGACTGAGAGGCCATGCACAAAGGGCATTCTTTAACGGAGCCCTGGGCGACCTCCGACTGCATTGGCATTCGTTACCTCGAGTTGGCAGTTCACCTCGCTTTGATCCACCGCTGCTCAGCGAACTGGTACTGGTCTGAAAAGACCACAATTTGACCATTGCGCTAAGCTTCCCTCGCATGTCACAACTCGCCCGTCACCTCCTCCTTGGAGTCAGAAGCTTCTGAGGTCGCTTCATTCCATTATTTCTTCCGGCCTGCTCAATTGTGCCGCCAATGAGCCTCACGACCGCTATGGCCAGGGTTAGTGGAGACTCCATCCCCTGGCGGTCCAGCTGGGCAGGGACCACTTCGGGGCCGCACAGTTACATCTGTTTGCCTCTCATGACTCGTCCCTCGGCCAGTTGTGTTTCTGTCTGAGCGGACAACCCTTGGACAGACACTGGCTCTCAGCTGACCCCGGGGTTCCGCAGAAATGCGTTCCCCAGTGAGCCTTCTAAGAAAGCGGCTATGCGATTCATGCCGCTTGGTGCCTGCACAAGTTCAGTGAATTTCATCACACTCAGGTGTTGAACAGAAATGCTTCTGAAGCTCT